CGGACCTCTCCAAGTAACCCTGTAGGTGCGGTCGTTGAGGTATGAGGTGAGGAGGGAAAGTGCAGTGCCTGAAACTCCAAGTTCCTGGACAGTGCGAAGGAGGATCCGATGGTTCACCGTGTCGAATGCAGCAGACAGGTCCAGAAGGATGATGACAGAGGAGAGGGAGGCTGCTTTAGCAGTGTGCAGTTTGTCAGAGACAGCAAGGAGAGCAGTTTCTGTTGAGTGACCTGCCTTGAAACCAGACAAACTAAAGATCATGTACATCCACTGCACACATAATCTGAAATAACAACTCATATTTCTCGCATCAAATGACATCAACATGCATTTTAATGGCCAAACTAACTTTAAAATAGGCATTTTCCACCGAGAATAAAACGAAGTTCGGCCATGTTTTTTTTTTCTGCAGGGAGAAATTTGAAGATCACGTGACATAGACGCCAGCCTAGGAGCGTCAAAACTGCACGCCAGGGACCCTGACCAAACGTCGCTCCTGGACGATTATGGAGTGAGAGTGTGTTGGGGTCGCAGGTTCCTCAACAATGCATTACAAGACATCTATCAATATGTGTGTATACCTCCACCATTAAACTGTCATATTCTGCACATTTTTTATACTATCTACATACATCTTATAAGAGTATACCTGTAATACATATGTATAATATCAGTTAAAATAAGTGCTTAAACATACAGTAGTTAACATTGCAGGAAAGCAATATATTAGTACTTTGTCAAGGCTTAATATTTATACCCCCAAAGCTTTTTTCTTATTCAAAATAAGACCTTAACCTAAAGTATTCTTTAATGTTTAAATAAAGCCTTATTAGTTTGTCAGTCTCTGTCTCCTATTAATATCTAATAATAAAAATAATACATTTCAATAACGTGCTTGAACCACCAGGTGTCCCTTTCTATCAGCTGTGCACCGTTATGGTGTACATATGCCAATATACCGATTGGACCAAATATAAAAGTCAGCCGAATTAGTATTGATACTGCAAGGAGACGTATTGTGTGAAGAGAAATTGAAGATTTTGTTTGATTGCTGATATATTTATGATCCACGTCACATATTCAGTTTTGGCAGCAGTTATTCCTATTTGTCTAGAAAGAAAGAAATAAATCATTATTATATTAATATTGGCAATAACAACCGACCGTCAGTGTAGCATTTGCCGGGGAGCGTTCTCATGGCGTCTATTATCAACGCTATGGGAGGTCTTTGAAGGTCTATGGGACGCCCTGCCCGTTGAAAACTGACTTCCAAGGGGTACCCTGCACGAGTGACGGGGAGGGGACTTGACCGTCCGTCAATATGTGACGGGTTGGGAGTGAGAACGTGTTGGGTTGGCATGTATGATAGCATGAAGTACAAAAGATCGCCGATGCTAATGTAGCGTTAGTGTTAGCATTTCTCCCCCTAGCTTAAATGGTGTATTTATAGAATGATCACACCAGTGTGACAGTACTCTTCAAAGGGTTTACGAAATATGACTACTACTCTTACTGTTTAACATTTTGGGTTACTTCATGTTACTTCATGTTAAGGATAATAAAAATGACAAGGCTAAGGCTGTAATGCTAACTAACGTGCTTGCTACTAGCTTTCTTTCATCAGACGGGAAGCGAAAGAACGAGCAAGACCCATTGCTGGTATGATAACAACCTGGTACTAAGCACACAGGCATCTTGTTAAAGTTATCTTATCTTAGCTATCTCTTATATTTAGCGGAGGAAAACAATTGTAACATCAGTTAAATATTGTTGTATTCTGTACAATGACAATAAAAAAAAAAAGAATTAAAAAAAAAGCTTCTGAGTTATGATTTATTTATTTTTAAGCGACTCTGGGATTTGTAGTCTTTCTAGTTGCGTATTTTTCATAGTCTTATATATCAACAGTTTTACGACAAACAACAAAATGATTTTTTAAGATTGACAAACATCATATGTCTAATTCGTGGCACAATTGAAACGGGATCGAAAGATAAGTTTTCTCTCTCCATTGACTTCAATACATAATTTTTCCGAAATAAGGTCCCATGGACCGGAAGTAGATGGGCGTGACTTCGCCACGCTCCCATTGTTCTGTGACCTGTCAATCATCAAACCGGGGGTCATATTTCATTATGTATTCATTTTTATCTGAAGTTGTACCCATGGATCTATAAAGAATAGTTATACTGAACCGCAAAGTTATTCTCCGTGGGGACCTCCGGCAACAATCTTGATTCTGATTGGCCAGAAGACTTGAAAAAACATCAGCAAAGATGTTTTATTGAGAAGATGATCACTATGTGACAGAAGTTTTCAAAACCGTTTGTGGTCTCCGGTACTTCCAGTCCAACGCCTACAGCATGCAGTGTTAGAAAATCGGGCCTTCAAAATAAAAGTTTGAGTTTTTAAGAAGAAATCTGCGACCCACTCGAAACGGGTCCGTGACAAAGTACTACTTAATTTAGTAAAGATGTTCAGAAGTAACTAAAGATGAGGGTACACAAAGCAAACACTGGGTTAACACTGTGGCAAACATGCCCATTGAAATGTGACCAAACAAACACTGTGTAGGCCTAAATATTGATTTGTACTGCTTTTTTTTAATGTGTTTTCATCCATCAGAAATAGTAAAAGCCATACAATGTAGCAAATCAAAAAATGACAGCGCTCTATACAGGCATAGTAGCTCATTCACACACATTATACAGTCCACATGCTCTGTCAGAGTGGGGGAACCACTGGAGCTTCCATCCCGACAAACACATGGAGAACATTCAGTTGGAAGTAGAGGACGTCCTCTTTTCAGGCAAAAATAACGATTCTTCTGTCAAGACACAGTCGTCAAAATGAAAATCCTGCTGATATCTGTCTGTGTGGATCTTAAAGGGCTGGTAAGACTTGAAGATGCTGTGTACAGATTGCAGTCAGCAGCACTAAGCTAACACTAGTATTTGAGCATGCAGGCTCTTTCTAATAAATAATGGAACAATCTAGTCAGATATAAAAAGCCCTTTAAGTGCTGTATTCTTTTCTTTAGGCCCCCATGATAATTCATTACATCATGCTGCCAACTGATATAAGAGCATCAGAAAAGGAAGGAGTCATAATCTCTTAATGTCTGAAGAGTTACTATCTATTGCCAAATAAAGTAACACAATGGTGACTGAGTGTATGGTTTTGCAAAATACATATTTTTGCAGTATTGTGAACTGGATGTCTGTATTGACTTCGTAATCAATGAATAACTTTATTAATTGTATTGCTGCCCTCTGCATTCTGGGACTTGTAGTTTTAATACAAATGAGCTGTTTCCACCAGTAAATAGGGTGTCACCAAATAAACCAGGAATACAGTCTTAAGGTTTCACACTTCAAAATGCCAAAATAAAATTGTATGATAAGGAAAAGGCCAAATGAATCAATGTGAAAATCAAAGCTCATTTTCTCAGTGTTGAATTTACTCAAACATTTACCCTTTGACGTGCCACAGCTAAAACACTGTTAGAAATAAAAGTGGTTCCTTTTGTAATGATGTCTCCTGACCACATGAGGGCAGCAGCTACTGACTGATCCGACTAGTGTTCCAGGAACAAGCTCCAGACCCATGCTGAGGAGAAACTATAACATGACTGCAGGAAGTAGTAACATGCAATCATGACATGAAAGGGTTCCATTAATGTCCATTTCCTCCTCTTTTGACAAGTAGAAACACAATGATAATACTTCAACATTTAAGTGCTAATCTTGGACATTGTCATACTGATATTCTGTACAAACTGTGAAGTCCACTGAGACAAATTTAATATTTGTGATATTGGGCTATATAAATAAACATTGATTGATTGATTGACAATGTATTCTAGGCAGGTTTAAGTTAATAAAACAATTGTGTTGGCTTTAGAATAACTCCAATTTGGACTTTAGTAACAGAAATCTTTCATACAAAATACCCCCCCTCACAAAACAAAGCCTCCCCACAAAACAAAAATGTTAACAAAAGGAAGAAATACTGTGATAAAAACATAAAAAACAACAACAGTTGAAATGCACACACTTATTACACCTTATATATATGTCAATGCACTTGCCAAAAATAATAGAAGAGAAAATATCTTTTCTTCTCGCTTTCAGTAATCTTGGTGTATACTTTATAATACATGTATACAAGATAACATAGAGCAACAAAGCATAAAAATAAATATCTTAAGTCACTGTTTTGAAGTTTTTTATATATCTATATATGTATATTTATATGTATAGCTTACTTTTGGGTAGGGTGTTAACAGTTTTGGCCGGCTGATGCAAAAGAGCTATTGACGGAAAAACCGGAAAAACTGAAGAGCAGTATAGCAACACTTTTCTAGAAAGTTCGTCACGGAACAACGTTAGGCCCTTCAGTAATGCGCAAAAAATAGTGTGACTGAACATAGAATGGTGGCAGACAGGATGTTTATCCCCCAAAGATCCAGAGAATTTGCGTAGATTTGCAAAAAAATCATTTTTTAGCTTTCAGATTTCCAAGGAATAACCTCTGTCAGCGCACTACTACATTGAAAAGGTGGAATTCTGAAGAATCGCCTAGTTTCCAAGTTTGACTATTTGCATATTTAAGACAGCCTTTAAGTTTTTTTTTTCTTAAAAAGCTCTGCATTACAGAAGAAAGGGAGGCACCAGATGTCTTCTAGAACAGTCCTACTCATAAAGCAATCTAGATTATTTACAAACACCTGACCGGCTGCGGAAATGTCTGGAGACAATTCTTGCGCCATGGCACAGGTGCGGAATTGACCTACAGTATCAGTACATACAGAAAGAAACAGTATTTTTTGATTAAGCAGCCATATTTGTTTTACAAAAGAATACTTCCGACCCTCCGACAGCGGCGCACTAAACGCGCCCCGACTACTTCTTTTTTTAAATCTTTGGTTGACCAGTCGGAAAGCCTGATAGATTTACAATCCACCATTTCATCGCACAACTTGACTTCTTCTTTAAAAAAAATAAAAATGAAACAATTGCTAACAAGATAACATTTGCACACTCTACGTCATTCCCCCTTCCTGTTCATGCATTACCCTGCCAGGGCGATCGAAAATCACTCCCCCATTGTCACACAGCCACGCCCCATCCTGCACTTCCTCTGATCCATTCTGGAGTCCGTCCAAGAAGAAAAGCACAAATGCACGCAAGCCACACACACACACACACACACACACACACACACACACACACACACACACACACACACACACACACACACACACACACACACACACACACACACACACACACACTCCGTCTTGTTCTCTTTCAGGCACAGACACATGTAAATGTAAAAAGAGCGGGAAAAATAAGGTGACGAGTAAAAACCAAATCGTCCAAAAACTGAAAGTAAGTGTCTGTGGTTTAAAGGAAACAAAAAAAAAGGCATTGAAATAAAAAAGCGGCAGAGTTTGTTGACGGCGATCATCATTTCTGCACGGCGATCATCTTGGAGACGAAGTTGACGATGGCGTTGGCGGGCTGGTCGGGGTCCATCTCGGCGAAGAGGTGGCTCACGTTGTCCGTCGTGCTTCCCTGCTTACGCGCCACGAACCCAAACAGCCTGAAAACACAAGGTTAGGGGTTCATTAGTAAAGCTGCCATGTTGAAGCATTGGACTGAAGAGATAATGCCTATATATTAATACATAACATTTCTTTATTAGAATGCTTGTGGCGGCTATATTCCCATGGAATACGGCCGCTCTGAGGCTAAACTTTGCTCATTGATGTGATATTTAATATTGTGAATCAAAACAATAAACAAACAGAATCATACGGTCAACAGAAATCAGAGCTAAGCTCACCCCCATTGTCATGCTACTAAACCTCCACATACACCAGGTGCCCTAAATACCATTAACCACAAACAACCCATTACAAGTGTGTGTGTAAAATAATGAAGATAATATAACTATAAACACAGGCTACCACAGCATTTTGGTTCCTACAAAGTCCTTTTTATGTAAGGAATTATTTACGTAAGTCTTTGGTCACTGCTAGGTCACACGATGTAAATCTTTAGGTGGCACCTTTTTGAGTTTCTGGCATGTATGTAAATGTTTTGACTACAGCATTGAGCAAGATCTGTCCTCAGACCCCTGTGCTCTGTTTGGTAGTGACAATGTGTGTTTATTTGGCCAAGCCTTTTGAATAAACTTAAGTTTTTAAGAAATTAGTTCCAGTGTTCCAGCATCTTCTTTTTTGAATGTTACAAAAATAATTTCCATCGCACATACAGTATCAATATTCCACAGAATATATATATATATATATAAGAGATTTTAAAGGACATTCATTTAGATTGATGAAAGTAGCCACTAGCTTTTATAATGAAGACGTTTTAAATGTTTATATATGTAAAGGTTTTTGCAGGTACATTTTATTTTGTCAGGAACTGTTTGTTATTGTAATACACATTTTGACCACAAGAAGGTGAAGTGCACCACCTCCCTATGTCCTACATCTGACTCAAAATATGTATGTTTTCTTACAGGAGAGTAACAATAACTCTATGCACCCTAAATAAAAGGTCAAATGATTTTGTTTCAGCATAAAAGATGAATGTGGATTATGTGTACTAGGCACTATATGTAATGTGGACTACAGAAACATTGTGATTCAAAAAGTTTAACTTACTTAGCTGTGCCGCCCTCAGGCTTGTTCCACCTGAAAATATTTGAAGAAAGTTTGGGTTAATACTTTAAGTGAAATGCAGATAAAAAAATTGTGGACTAAGAATACATTATCCATAATACATAATAAATAATTATACAAGGAGATACAGCTCTGGAAAAAATGTCGGTTGAATTCAAACACAGAGAAATGTTGTCCGTAGTAGAATCATATAAAAATGTACATTTTACTCAAACACATACCTATAAATAGTCAAACCACAGAAACTGATAATACTAAAGTGGTCTCTTAATTGTTTCCAGAGCTGTAGTGTTTGGACTTAATTCAGATTTTAAAAAGTATCTTAGAACTCATCTGAGCAGCCTGAATCAAACCACTTTTGGAATAAAAAAGATAACCTCCTGTACTCACTTCCTGTCCTGAGGGTCAGTATCGCAGAACGTGACAGTGTTGGTAGGATAGTGGCGTCGGAAGAAAAGCCTAGAAAAGCAGAATACAAAAATGGAGATTAGAAAAATAAGATAATACAAAATAATGTACACGTTGAAGATGTTTATTCTGTGGATTAGCAGATGATATGTTTTATAGTATGACAAAATCTGGAGGAAGCGTTAAGCAGTAA